AGACAGTCCCAAAGTGCATGTCTATCCACCGAATCGAATGCACCTTTGATATCGAGGAACACGACAACGGTGGGCCGCCAATATATGTGACGGTGCTCCAACAACTGACGCAATGTGAAGATGTGGTCAATGCAGCCACGACCTCGACGAAATCCAGCTTACTCTTCGCGAATCTGGCTTTCACGAGTGCCAGTCAGTCTGTGAAGGATGACCGAGGCAAGCAATTTGGAGGCGATGGAGATCAGACTGATTCCTCTATGGCTGCCGCATTCTGATCGTGAGCCTCCTTTGAAAATTGGGACTATGATGGAGCAGCTCCAATCGGTTGGGACAGTCTCCTGCTCCCACAGTCTCACTAGTAACTCGTGTAAATCATGCACAAGAGCAGGTCCCCGAATTTGAAAAGGGCTGGAGGAAGGTCATCAGGCCCCGCGGCTTTATTTAACTACAACAGTTTGACCTCACGTTCGACTTCTGAGCAAGAGGGTGGATCCAAAGGAACAACCCACGGAGTAGAGCGATCTCTGGTCGGCGCGAAATCTAACAATTCCGACCGATTAAATTGCCTTTCAAGGTGCTCAGCCCAACGTTCCAGACGTTTTGATAAGTTGTGGATAGGCTGTCCACTCTCGTCACGTATAGTTTCACTAACACCAGGTCTCCTACTGCCCGGTTCCCGTACAAGACGGAATAACTCACGAGGTTTAACAAGGGCAGCGGCCATTTCCATCTCTGTTGCACGACGAGACCACCAGGATTCGCGGTCCTCTTCAGGCTGGCATGGAGTTTCGCCCAGAGCTCTTTGCGAGTTTCATTGTGTTTTCTTCCAGCCGGAATATGCCGGCGAGCATCTATAAGTTCCAGAGACTGTGAAGAGACCCAATGTTCATGTTGGCGATTAGACATACCACATGAGGATTTGCCTGCTGCTAGTAAGGCCTGTTGCATATGAGATCAGTGAGCTCCAATTGCATCCAGTGAGCGTTTAGCCAACTCGGATGACAGCGTAATATGATAGGCGTTCAGAACAGCTGGCTTCACCAGTCTGCCGGTGTCAATGCGCTCACAACATCGTCGCGGGCGTCCGCTAAAGAGCATCCGCAGGTCGGCACAAACAAGTGCATGATCGGTGTCCACACCTGGGCTCCAAATCGAGCGACAGTTCTGGAGGCAGCCTCTCCATTGGTAACTTATCGCAATGTGATCGATTTACGTCCATAGCTGGTTCGAGGCTGGTGGGCGCCAAGTCACCCTCCAGCGGGTGCTGTGTCGGAAATTAGTGCTCGCAAGAAATAAGCGAGCATCCTTACACAAATGAAGTAACCGCTCACCGTTATCATTACGGGAGCCTATACCATGTTGGCCGCCCAGATGCAGCTCATCTGTAGACAATTTTCCAACTTGAGCGTTCAGATCCCCAGCCAGCACTACATTGTCCGAGCTTCTTCTGTGGCTAAGGAGTTCGTTCAGTTGACGATAGAAGTCGGCTTTTACCGAGTCATCGCTACAGTTTGTCGGTGCATAGACAGCAATAACGAATAGACACCTGTTAGTCCCACGCGACTTCGAAGTTTTGAACGAGCCAGCCAATCGGACCGCACACATCCGGCTACTGATTGGAATCCAATCAACCAGAGCAGCTTCAGCCCGGGGGACTCAGGGCAATACAAACACCGGCTTGGCCGGTGCTCGAAGCTGCATCGTCACCGGATAGGCGCACTGAGAAAATGCTGCTAGTGTCACCTGAAGGGGATCGCAGAGTGAGTACAGAGCTCGAGTCTTGCAGGCGGATCTCCGATAAGCAGCAGATATCGATCGAGAGAATCTCTAATGTTCGGACAAGTGCTGCCTTTTGACCGATCTGAAGCAAGGTGCAATCATTGAGGCATGCTAGTCTGAAGGAGGATCGAGGGCTCCAAATGGAAGCCGATGAACTGGAATGGGCCGCTTGCTTGGACATGGGCCTGTTGACAGTGCAGGAATGACGCTCCGCGTTCACCTGTGAGTTGAAACTAAAAGACAAGCGACTATTGAAGCAATGTGGGGGAGGGCCGATAATTGGAGGGTTGAAAACAGGGGGTAAAAGTGAAGCTGGAACGGGACGATTAGGGTGAAAAAGCGCAAGAAGGGGAATAAGATGGGAAGGCTTGAGCAGTAGCATCCAAACCCTTATCCACCTCGCTCGATGCAACAGATAGGGCACCGTTGATTATCCTCTGCGGTGGCCAGAGCATCAGAAATTTGTTTGAGGAAATATTCACTGTATTGCGTGGGTAGGATATTGTCAGGTTGCCCAGGCCTAGACAGGAGAACGATTAGGGTTCTCAACCAAAACCTTTGGTTCAAAACCCTGGCCGCAAGGCAGCGGGTTTGGCACTGGACTACAAGGAGTCCGTTTAAAGGAATAAGGAGCCACCCTCATTCCAACCCCCAACCTGGAGGACCAGGTGGCTGAGTTTGTCTGGCCTCTAACCATTGACCAATCTGGTATGAGTGACTCTGAAGGTGCAAAAGCACCACCCAGCATAGCTGAATGGATCACTGAGGCACACAAACCATCGCACCACGGTAAGGTCCAGCCTCCTTGCGATGGCCTAAGCCGAAGTACTAGATAATCTATGCAGTAACACAAGCTTACTGCTCCGAAGTCATTCCTTAACACATGCGTATTTGCGTGACCCCAACCCGGTCACCCGTGACTCAAACGTCGACTTTCAACTTGCTTGTATTGTTCGTTTTTATCTACCAATTCTTGGTCGTTTTGTAATGTCACTGATTTGCTTGCTTGGCACAGTATCGATATCCTGTCTGTTGTAGCTGAGTATTCGCACAGGCTGGATGCGTAATGACTTTGTTTGCTTTGACTTCTTCAGTTTGCAAGTTTTTTCGGCGCTCCGTAGAAGCCGAAAGCCTTCAGAGGGTTTGGAAAATTGGTACTGGGATGTCTCTATTTATAGAAGGCGATCGTCAGTAATCGACAAACTACCGGCAGATTTGTCTGACAACGATAATTTTTAAAAGCGTGGAAAGTTTTCTTAAGACAGCTATAAATCTTCAGCAGAAGAACCTGCATATCCTCACATTGCTCAACCTGGTTTTCGAAAGTCGCGTTTCTGTAGCTCTAACTCACGTTGGGAGAAAAGTGGGCCAATTTGTTGGATGTCGGTAAACGTCTAGAGGTGGTATTCGTCTACTTCAGCAGAGCAGTTGACGAGGTTTCTCATGGCCGCCTCCTTCGCAAACCCCGGGGAATTTGCGTTGCTGGGAAGATTCTCCCCTGGGTCACTGACGTTCTAGATGGCCGAAGCTTGTACGAATAGGGCCAAATAGCCCCCGAACGCGTTATTTCCTTGGAGGTAATGAACTACACCATGTTACCCAATTGGTAGACTTAGGGGTCACATAATCTTCAGAACTTAAATCCAGTGAGAACTGGAGGAAAGCTACGCGTGAGGGCTTCGGAACGTTGTGGATGATCCGCATGGCGTTCGGGACCAGCACGGACGCTATGTTTGTTAGGTTATTCTCAGCATTTGTCAGGCCACACTTGGAATACTGCATCCAGGCTTGTCCACCTTGCTTAGTCAAGGACAGGATGTCAGTGGAGAGAGTGTTGAGAGTTGGAACCAAACTGGTCCATGGACTGCGGAACCATTCTTACCCAGAAAGACTACTTGCACTGGGAATGTTCTAGATGCACTATCGTCAACATCAAGGTGACCTAGTCTTGACATATCGTGTACTTCCGGAACAGTCGGACCCAATTTATGCGGGCTTTTCCAACCGGCTCGGCTTCCATCGCTCCGAGGTCACTCGCTAAAGCTACACAAAACTCGATCGAATGGAGTCCAAGCGTACATTCGTTTATCACGCCGAGGGGTGGATTCCTGAAATGCTCTGCCCGAGAACGTGGTATTGGCACCAAAAGTGAAGAGTTTGGACACCGACTCGAGGCTCTTGGCCTTCAATACTTAACATTCCCCTTCACCTCATAGCTTATTCATATTATTGAACTATTAAATCTATTACGTTTTTTTCTTGACGCTCTTATTACTTTCGTACATCTCTTTCTTATTTCACGTAACAGGTGCGGCGGGGACTGCCAGTGCAGGTCGAGTAGGTATTACTTGGTTGAACGTGGTGCGATTCGCGCGCGCTGACCTGACTCCTCTGGATTCCAGCTATCGCAGAAGAATAATACCCTGAATCAACGGCGCGTCACGGACGGAACATTCACGGGGATTTATCCTACTGTTCTGGTCCCACTTGAACTTGAACTTGAAGCATCGTCGTCACAGTGCTGACTTCGGTTACACGCGGCGCAATCTGCCAGGTGAGCCGGAGGACGAAATGCAAGAGTGCTTTAGTCCTTGTGCAGATACTTCGACACGAGACTACGGTATGAGAATGGCTAAACCAAGAAGGTTTCGAGTTCACTATTCTGTCACTTTGTCAATAAGTGTAGTAAATGACGGGAACAGTTCAACTGAGCTAGTGTCAGTGCGCGAAAAACGGAATGTTTCGAAGGATTACTAGACCTTTATTTGCGGGAAAGACATGGATCTTGCTGTGTTGAGTGTGATCGCAATGCTACCTTGTACAATACTGTGCCGCACCAACTCCCCCAATCCCTACAGTGAGCGGGACGTGATGGTGCTGACAAAGGATTTCCTTTCTGCTCTCTAGCAAGCAATGAACCAACCTTTAAATGCATGCAAATTGCCCATACAAATACATGAAACTTAGCGCACTTTGACGTTTACCTTTCTTTTTCTAGTACAAAGCAAAAACCACTATTTATTCGAATTGTTGGCAGCTGTTTTGTTTACTGACAGACAAAACGGGACGCTGGTAAATTCAAGCTTATTTCGTCACTTGATCAAACTTTTCCTTTATACAAAGTTTCCATACTTTTAGTCTGCACATTCATTATGGTTTTACTTTTTTTAATTTATAGTATGATTGCTGCCGTGTTATATTCACTGCCTTGGTACGCCAGGATTCGCTGTACGGCTGAGCGTTACCCATAATACAAACTGCGTATGTGAGACGGTCGATGCCTGTTGTTGTTCACCGGTGATGGACTCGTCGTTGTTTTCACAGAATTTCTGGGGTGAAAAACACATTGGATTCGATACCCTTTGTCAAAATTCCAAATTAGCTTGTCGATCCACCAGTGATTTTGTCGATTTCCTCAGGGAATGTTACTCTGTTGATGATGCTTATCAAAAATCTCTCGGCAAACTGGCTAAACAAGCCGGGTCGTACAACACTGCTGGCACTATTAAGCCATGCTGGTCGGTGGTTCGTCAGCTTTTGGAGCGTACAAGCCATCTATACCTTAGCGTAGCACAAGAACATCAAAGTCTTATGAGAGATGTGCAAAAGTTTTTAGAAGAGCAGCAAAAGCGCCAGAGGTCAATCAAAGAAAGCGAAGCATCAACACAGGAGGTCGTTCATGCTTTTCAGGTTTGGCCATACTTTTTGCGTCATCCGTACAGTTTCTGGGTTTTTTTGTTGCACCATTTCGCCATTTTACCATAGTGAGTTAGCCTAGGGTGAAATAATCTTACTACTATCCGCGTTTAAGTTATTTGTCCACTTTATAACCTTGAAACTGGTCATTATGTGTTAACACAACGGAATTCATTCTCTCTGTAAAACATTACTCCTTAGCTTTCATTAGACGCACTTATTTCCATCAGTACTTTTCATCAGTACGATAGCTGTCAACGGATTAAGACCATCTTGATCTAGCTTTACCCACCTTCACTTTGGGTGCGAAGAAGTCAGTGTGCTTTGAAACAGCCGTTGGAGACAACTATATGGATTACGTACTCAACAGAGGTTAACTGAATTAGTGTTGCACGATATTGCTGTAACCTGTACGCAAATTGTGTTAGACTTAAAGCTGGCGTTGTACTCAAACACCTTAAAGCAGGGATTTTCGCGCACACTGAGAAGTCTCTTTGTTATCCCAGCGGTCCTCATCAAACGCCCGTTGACCACCCAAGTGATTTTCGTATAGTAACAGACGACCAACCCGTGCATTTAAGTCCTCGTCTAGGACAACAACATCCTATTTGTTAGCGTTGTTCAAAAGCCGGTAAAGCTCTCAATGAAAGTCGTCGTTGACCGAGCCACTTCTGCAGTCAATTTGAGTGTACTAGATCACAAGTCGCGTCTCTTCTCCCGACGCCTATTGAGTCTACCTGAACTCCGAAGCCGAACTGCGTACAGTCCGCCGTTAATCCGCAACCAGACCAGCAGTGCGGCTTTGGTCCTGCCATTTAGTG